GAGCCCAGCAGGTCGAGGCTGTGGTGGCCGGGAGCGGCCACTGCACTCCAGTCTGGGCGACAGAGTGAGACTCCAACTCAAAAAAAATAAATAAATAATAATAATAATAACAACAAATAAATAAATGCTAATATTCAAATACAGGTGCATTTTGGCAAATGACTTCATCAAAAACAGACCAACAAAAGGAAAAAAAGGATAGGCTGTGTGCTGCACAAAATGCTAGTTTCTTATTTAGACAATAAAATACGACTGCATCTTAAATCCTAGTGTGTTTCATTAAGCAAGACTCTCCTGGCCGGGCTTGGTGGCTCAGCCTGTAATCCCGTGCCTTTGGAAGGCTGAGGTGAGTGGATTGCCTGAGCCCGTGGGTTCGAGACCTGCCTGGGCAACCTGGTGAGACCTCATCTCTACAATATATCAAAAAAAAAAAAAAAATTAGCCAGGCGTGGTAGTGTGCGCCTGTAGTTCCAGCTACTCGTAGTTCCAGCTACTCGGAAGGCTGAGGCGGAAGGATCGCCGGAGCCCAGCAGGTCGAGGCTGTGGTGGCTGGGAGCAGCCATTGCACTCCAGTCTGAGCAACAGAGTGAGACTCCAACTCAAAAAAAAAAAAGACTCTCCTCTAATCATTCTACTAGATAAAAAATACGTTTATCCCCCAGGAACCAAGAGAAAGGGCCAATGCCAGTCACTCTAGTCCTGACTTAGCTACTGAGGACAGCAGCATCCTCCATCTGGATCAATGTTGAGCGCTAGTGATCGTCATCCAGTCTCTTGACCTCCATCAAGCCTTCCTCATCCTCAAAAGGGGACAAAAATACAACCCAGGCCGGGCGGTGGCTCAGCCTGTCATCCCAGTACTTTGGGAGGCTGAGGCCAGACGACTGCCTGAGCCCGGGGATGCGACACCAGCCTGGGCAACTTGGTGGTACCTTGTCTCTCCAATAAATCACACCAAAAAACTAGCCCGGCGTGATGGCGTGCGTCTGCGGTTCCAGCTACTTGGAAGGCAGAGGTGGAAGGATCGCCTGAGCCCAGCAGTGGTGGTGAGGGTGTCACTGCACTCCAGCCTGGGTGGCAGAGTGAGACTCCAACTCAAAAAGGAAAAAAAAATTACTAGGGAGAGAGGAACAAGGTACGCTAATAATATCTGCAAAGCGGTGAAAGGGGGCCGTAGCCTCCACAAACATCTTCAACTTTGTCAACGCCAGAAAGGAGCAGGCAGAGGCCAACAGCATCCCGAAGGGACAGGCCACCACACTCAAGGGCCCGAGGCGTGGCGCTTTTCTCCCGCACGGTCTCCATTCCTACGCACTGCAAAGAAAGGGACAAAAACTGTTCGGCATAACAACGGCAAGCACGTTTACACCCGCCGGCGTCTGTCGACATAACATCTCCACGTGCCTCAGGTACCTGTGTGAGCGCGTCTCCTGGGAAAGTCCCGCGGAGGGGCACCTTTCCTCTGGCGGGTTCGGGGTCCCTTCCACCCCAGGTCCACCCCGACGGCCTCCACCCGCCAAGTCCAAAACGCTGGCCCGAGCCGGGAGTTCACCCGGGCGCTGGCGGAGACGTGGCGCCAGTTTCAAAGGCGCGGTCATCCCCACCCCCAGCGCCGAACCCTCCGCGGCCCGGCGAGGGAAGGCGACACGGAGGTTTGCGTCGCGTCCGCCGC